CTTCTTTACCAAAGGTTTTATTCATCAATGGTTGCAATGGTTTATCACTAAAAGATTGCAATGGTTCATCACTAGTAGTTATAATCAAAACAGTTGCATTTGTTCATTTAAACAATTGCAATGCTTCACATTAATGGTTGCAAGGATTCATTTAAATAGTTGAAATGATTCACATGATACATTGCACCTAGTCACATAGATATATAATGATAAATGTCTTGTAGTCTCTTAAATATCCAACAATAAGCAATCTAAAAGGAACATAAAAGCAAAACGAAGAAGAGACAGAAACCAACCTGTATAATTAACAATGAAAGGCTCCTCAGCCCTCAGGTCGACTCAAATGTTCAGTTAATACAGTAGAAACCCGTTCTTGTTCCCGTATACAATATCTGTAAAAGGTCAATCATCCACCTGTCCCAAAAACACTTAACATTACATATATAAACATCTTATCTAATCAAACAATTAATACAATTCATCATAAAAGTTTTTTTTTAATTAGGTGTAAGTTGTTTATAGGGAAAAAAAAAGAAGCATCTTTTTTTTTGATAAGTATGTGAATTTCATTTAAAAGAAAAATGACATTGTTTGCTTAATACAAAAGGTTAAAACATTCTAGCTATCCTATGCCCAAAAAAAAATAAAAACAGAGGATTGCCACCAAGCGAACCTTCAGTCCCGAGTCTTCAGTCATATTTTAGCCACTGTAGCATTAGAGTACGGAATTTCTTCTGCTCCCTCCATGCTAGAATAGCGTTGCGAACAAGTCATCAATCTTCCTGTAAGTTACTGCTGGTGTGACAGAAATGAAGTTGTGGAGCCTGTTATTACGTTCCCACCAGATCAAGTACAAAGTAGCATGCGCAACCAAACGGCGGAGGGTGGAAGTGCTCATAGTGTCTTTCAGCCTCAACCATTCAATAAAAGCCGTCCACGTTTGGAAGAGAAAATGTTTATAGCCTAGTCTCTTAGTAATAAGAAGCCAGATTTGCTCACTGAAATCACAACGCAGAAAAAGGTGATCCCTTGTTTCAACATAAGAGCTGCAAACACAACATGTATCCAAAGAAGCTACTCTCCAAGCAGCAATACGGGCACGAGTTGGTAAACAATCCAACTAAGCCTGCCACATCATAAAAGCATGGCTTGGAATGAAGCCGTTAAACCAAACAACATCAGCCCAAGGTTGTGGTGTTCCCCTGTTTCGAATAGATTCCCAAGTTGCTTTAGCTATGTATGATGGGAGGAGTTGATCTCCTATTTCCCAAACAAAAGAGTCAGGAATTTGCGTGAGGGATGGAAGAGGCACTGAACATAAGTGAATTTGCAGAGCCTCTGCCTCTTGGGAGCGAGAAGGACGCAGCCTCTAGCCTGATAATGTTCAAGAATCAGAGACAGTAGTGGTCAGAGGGATACCCAATTGTGTTGGACCAGAAGGACCAAAGCGATTGATGAGAGGTCCCATAGGTGTCCAATGGTCGTACCAGAAGCTCACCTTCCTCCCATTCCCTAGACGACATCTGATGTACCGTTCAGCCAAGCATCATAGTTTAAGGAGAGCTTTCCAAATCAATGAAGATTGAGCATTTTCATCTAAGCTCCAAACGCTGCTATTTTCAAATCGATTTGTCTTACACCAGGCTGCCCACAGAGAACCATTGTCAGTGAAGAGTAGCCAAATCAACTTTAGGCAAAGAGTTTTATTCCATAGATTTAGATCCCTTAAGGAGAGACCTCCCTCAGCTTTTGGAATACAACAGGTTTCCCAAGATACTCCGGCTGCAGCTCTGCTAGTAATGTTTCCGTTCCACAGAAAGAGAGCAGAGGGATTCAATCTGTTTGATACATCCCTTTGGCAGTAAGAAGCTTGAGAACCAGAAGTTGAGGGTACCATAAATGACAGATCCAATTAATTGTCTTCTTCCTGCGAACGAGAGGGATTTTAGTTGATCAAGAAGAGGACTGTAGTCGCATATTCTGAATTTCCTGTGCATCAGAGGAAGGCCCAGATACCTGACAGGAAGAGAACCAATGGAGAAGCCAAGACTAGTCATTTCTGTGGTTTCCATTTCATTCATACCTGCAATATAAAGCTCAGTTTTATGGCGACTCATTTCCAAACCTGACCAAGAAGCAAAACGCTCCATTGTTGCTGAAATCTGCTGTAAGGAGCTGTAGTGGCCATAAAAAATATCATGATATCATCCGCAAAGTCCAAGTGAGACACGGAAGGATTTGAGGCTGTTGGGTGGTAACCTATGGAACCAGAATCAAACTCCTTACTCATCATCTGAGAGAATACCTCCATTGCAAGAACAAAAAGATATGGAGACAAGGGATCAACCTGTCTCAATCCTCGAGCACCCTTAAAATAACCACAAAGTTCCCCATTAATGGCCACTGAGAATCTGGTAGTTGAGATACACTGATATATCAAATTGACGAAAGAGTCTGGGAAACCAAGCGCTTGGAGAATCAGAACAATGAAGGACCAGTTAATGGAGTCGAAAGCCTTTTTTAGATCCACCTTTAACATTGATCTCTTACTGATCCTCTTCCAACTATAACCTTTGATTAATTCAGTTGCCATAAGAACATTCTCCACCAGTAACCTCCCTGGAATGAAAGCAGACTGAGTATTTGAGATAATGGAAGGCAAGACCTGTTTTAGGCGTTCTGCTAGGAGTTTAGAGATCGCCTTGTAGATAGTATTGCAGCATGAAATAGGCCGAAACTCTGCTACACGATTTGCATTCTGCTTTTTTGGTATCAGGGTAAGAATGGTGGAGTTCCACTGTTGGAGCAGGCTTCCAGACGAGAAGAACTCCTGAACAGCATCTATGACGTCGCGACCGATCGCATCCCAATTTCCAGTGAAGAATTCAGAGGGAAAGCCATCAGGTCCCGATGCTTTATTTTTAGGCATACTGAAGAAAACCTTCTGAATGTCTGAGTCTGTAAATGGCTGAGAGATTCTTGCAATAACCAAACTGCTTAATCTCTGCGGAAGGACATAATACACATCATCCATGGAAGCAAAAGATTGGTGAGAAGTACCTCCTAGCAGATTTTTTTAGTATCCCACAATGTGCTTTTGAATGTCAGCTTTAGAGTCAAGGATACAGTCATTATCATCAAGAAGGATGGATACGAAGTTTATGGATTGTCTTGTTTTGATGGATCGGTGATAATATCCAGAACTGCAGTCTCCTTTCCCCAACCAGTTGACTTTAGACCTTTGTTGAAGGAAAGACTCTTCCGCTAAGGCTAAGGAATACCATTTTTCATGCGCTTTCTTCTCAGATAAAGCAGATGCATGGGAAGGAGTATTAAGGTTGATTCTTTGACAAGCTTGAAGTTCCTCAAAGGCTTCATTGACTCTCTTTTCCAGCTTTGAATAATTTTCTTTACTGAAAGCCCTGATGACGCTCTTAAGTTCCTTTAACTTCTTTGAGACCCGAGCATTTTTGATCCATCAAAAGAAAGAGCTCTCCAACACTCCCTTATCAAGATGAGAAATTTCGGGTTTTGGTTTAGTAGATTCAAGAACTTAAAAGGTCTCCTCTCCTTTGGTTTTTTGGAGTCAAGGTAAATGCAACACGGGCTATGATCCGATATCCCTGGATCACCAAAGACCCTAGGGCATCAGGGAAAGAGGCAAACCAGCAGTCGTTAACTAAAATCATGTCCAACTTTTTTGAAATAAGGGTGTCTCCTTGCTTGTTGGACCATGTGAAAAAGTTGCCAATGAAGGGAAAGTCTGAGAGCTCAGCAGCAGTAACACACTGTGTGAACTCCCTCATGCCCAAGGGAGAGGAGAAATGATCTGCTGAAGAGTGCTCCGTAGAGAAAAGAGTTTGATTGAAGTCTCCAAGGACCGTCCAAGGAAGACCATTTAGTTGAGAAGAAGCTGCTAAGAACCTGATATCAGAGCAGAGCTGCTTTCGAACCATTCTGATGTTAGAACCATAAACAAACGTTGCAGCAAAAACATTTCTGATTTGCGGTAACTTGACGATGCAGGTGATAGATTGAAGAGACTTGTAACAAACTGAAACCGAGACTGAATAGGTGCCATAAGAGCCAAACTTTTCCTAACTCCGAGAATTCATAATTACAATCAAAATGCCAACCAGAAAAGACTTTGTTGATGATAGCTTGAGCCTTGTCTGGTTTGACATGAGTCTCAACGAGACTACCAAAAAGAGACTGAGATTTCTTTAGCCATTTTCTTAACTCCGCGATGCTTTATTTTATCATTCATTCCTCTTATTTTAGAAAAAATAGATTCGACTCTACGTGTTCCACACGATTTGGTTTCCAAAAATATAACACAACAAAACCTAATTTACTACTCCATTGTTTGTCTCAAATTGTATGTTTATTGAGTTCATGTTGTCCATCTTGTCTTAATTTGCTTTATTTCTTCACATTGTGTAGACAAGATCTTCACTATGGTAGTCTCATGTTGCAAACATTGACGACTATAAATCTCAAACTAAAAGAAGTAGACAAGATTCCCCGGTTTTAATGTAGCCTCTTAATCTACTATGAGTTGACCCATTTCGTGAAATGACCTTTGATATGTTATTCCAAGGAGCATTTTCAAAACATTTCTTGAATATAGTGGTTGAATGGTTTCTTGTTTATTCACTTGAGGCTGAAGCTGTATACATTATTCACTTGAGGCTGAGGCGGATTTGTGGTTGTGGACTTAGGCCCAATTTAAAGTTCACATTTCTTTTTCTTTTACCAAGCAATATGTTACTCATGGACTTGGTTTAAAGCACTGGACAAGCATATTAATCAAAATCACCATAAGCTTGGAATAGCAGACGAACACTGTCGCTGCAACCAAACTAACGTGCTTAACCATTTTTGTACCTATTTGTTTGATCATATATCTTCTTAACCATATTATAATTGTTCGTATACAATGGTTATTTTTGTACCAATCTAATGGCTCGACCACCCATAACTTAATTGATTTCCTAATTTCGAAGGCAAAATGTGGAGATATTTTCCCAAATTCGGCAACTGGGATTTAAAAAAAAAAACTAAATTATGAACCCCAACGCAAGAGCCAGTGAGCCATAATCAAAAATGCAATATAAAGTAAAAATAATTAAATAAAAAAGTGAGATATTTTTTTTCTTTTAAACGCTTTGAGAGAATTACAAAGTGTTTGTTAAACATTCAACCTCCAAACTTCATATCATCATCCTTCTCACAACGCTCAAGAAACGAAGTAAGAACTTTAATGGCATTGATTTGACACTGTAGAGCCAATATGTAACTCGCCGTTTCTTCAAACAGCGCGTCCACTTCAAGCGCCGTTCCTCCTGGTACTATTGTCTGAAGAGCCTCAATCTTCTCTTCCACTCCTTCTTCTTCATCTTCATCTTCTGCGTTGCTCTCTCTTACACTCGCCGTTGCATCTGACAATCTCTGTTTGGTTCTGCGGTTAAAACCGGCGGGATGTGCGTTCACGGCGGTGGAAGGCGACGGAGAAGAGCGTTTGGTATGGGAAGTTGCTAGGGTTTTCTCCATTGACGGAGTGAGAGAGAAAGGTTGTGTTGGAATAAAAGGGGTAAAGAGATGTGTGTAATTTATATATGAGTGATGATGGATCAGTCCATTGAAGGTAGAACCGGTTAAACCGGATCCAGGTTCGAAAATTTGCCATAGTTTTGAGACCTACTTGATGGAGTTGAATCCAAATGGTAGCTTTGGTTATAGTTTTCTATGGTTTATAATTTGGTTCGGTTTAGATTATGGTTTGGTTTTTATGTTTCTAAAATTGGGTAATGCCATCAAAGCTGGGTCCAGTTGTGATTTTCTTATTTTGGTCTTGTGTTTTTTTCGAATTTATATATGAAGTGTTTTGTTTTGTTTTGTTTGGTTGGACTGATTTGGATCCGTGATTGGCACGCGCTATTTTGAGTGGTTTAGTGGAGACGTCACTTTACTCAAGTGGATCTCCCTGAGGTCCTGACAGACAGATATATTGGATCTTTATTTGTTTTTTTTTTCTTATATTCAGAAAGCTATGTATACTGAAAAACATATGTCGTGTCATTAACAATTAGTAACATGCTTAGTTAAGTAATAATAGACCAAATGAAAACGCCGTGTCATTAATACTTAGTAACATGCTTAGTTTAGTAATAATAGACTTAATGACATGTGTTAAACTTTAATTCAGACTTTGACTTGTGTGGGTCTTTGTTTAGTATTCTCGGAGAGAGCAATGTTGATTTCGGTGTATTTTTTAACATATGGTCGAAAAGAGCTAAATTGTACTTATCTCTAGTTTATAAAAGAGGAGTATGCTTTAGAATCTTGACATATTAAGAAAACATATTCAATTTTGATTACCAATGCATATTTTTTGTAATTAACTAATCTCTACAACTTTTAACTAATATAATTTTAGTAAACACGATTATGTTTTTTTAAGTTTTTAGAATTTACTATTAAATAATTCATTAAAAATGTAAGAATTATACTTCCTCTGTTTTTTATAAGATGTTTTAGAGAATTTGTTTTGCTCAAATTATGTTGTTTCTCTTTTCAATGTAAATTTATTAATTTTTATGCAATATAAATTTTTTGTGTATTATTTTTATTAGTTGAAATGTGGTTAATTGGATAATTAATGATATTTTATCCAGAAAATATATAAAATAAGATATTTTATTAAACTGTATGTCCAATTTCAAAATGTCTTATAATAAAAAAATTGGAGGGAATGCCTTTTTGAAACAATTGTTTTTTTAAAACATGTATTGTTTTGGAACGTAGAGATTATTAACTAATGTAGACCAATGATATATTTCAAAGTGAAAGTTATTGAGGTATTAGAATCAACTTGATTATTTTCTTAGATACAATCACTAATATCTTCAAGGAACCATTATCAATAGTAAGAACATCATGATTAGAAATTTAAAAAAAATTATTAATTATTATTCAAATAATAAGATAAGTTACTTTTTAATACATTGTTTCAACATCTGTAAAACCGAAGTACACTAATAACATCTTCAACCCAATATTTTATTTTAAGAGGAACAAATCCTCAAATTGAGAATTTGAATGTTGATTACTCCAATCATGGATCTTCAAAAAAATCTTTTAAAAAATTATGAATTTGTATTATAATCCTTAACATTAACAAAAGTTATTAACAAGGATAAAATTTCATAAATACATATAAAACATACTTTAATATATTATACAATACACAATATTAAAATATTATATAACAAAATTACATATGTAATAAAACAGCACACATACACACAAAGTTAGAAATTACATATAAAATACCACTTGTAAGATATGTAATATTTAAATGTTTATGTAATTTGCTTTAATTTATGTTAAGTTTCTTTAATGTACTTTTATTTTGTGTGAGCTTTATTTAATGTATTCTTTATTTGTGTGAATTTTATTTCAATGTTATGTAATATTTATTTTATTTTATTTTGGTGTATTTAAGTTATTCTAAATAAAGTTAATAGATATATTTGTGAAAGAAAATAATTATAAGGACTAAAAAGAAAAGGAATACTAGTTTTGAGGTCTTGAATAGTGAAATTCCAAATTTGAGATGTTACTATCCAAAACGTCAAAATTTGAAACTGAATTGGATGATAAGAACTTCAAAATTTGAGGTTGAATTAATTGGAGATGCTCTAAAGAAAATATATGTGTGTAGTGGTTTTGTTTATGTTTTTAATTTGTTGAACCCTTTTTCAAGATTCGATAGATAATGTTTTTATAGATTAGGGTTTTTTTGTCGTTGTTACAAAAGACATAAACAAGTATTTGGAAATTTAAAATAATGTATATGTACACCTTCAGACGAGATATAAAAAATAAACTTCATTAACTTATGTTTGGGTTGATGATGATGTGCCCTCTAATTTAACATATAGACCAGTTATCTTAATAGGTTACGTATGATTATAATCATTATTTCATCCCCAGAGTGTGTTACATAGAAACAGTAGTACCTATTTCACAACTTTTCAAAATTTTCAACTTAACGTGAGGTTAGTCCAGTTTAGTGGTGATGATTACAGTATGGTAATATGACAAGTCAGAGAGTGGATGCGCGTGAGAGTAAAAGTGGAGGAGGAGGAGAGGATTCACCTGCGTCAGGTGCATGGGAGAGAGAGAGATAGGAGGGGACCCAGAAAAGCCCCGTAAAAAAGGAAAAGAGAAAAGGAAAGCACATGTGCTCACATGAGGAGTTTTTTTTCGATCATCTCCATGTGCCCTCTCTTTACTTTCATCTACACACACTCTCTTTCTCTATATACACAGAGAATGAATAGATACAGTGGTAGATAGTGAAGCTGTGTGTGGTGGACGTACTAGTACAACTATCATACTATGATGATCTACTAGTTGCACCCAAGATCTCACATGCTTTCTTCTTTCTCTCATGGGAGCCACGTGACATCTTTTATGGAACCTACCTTGTGAAATCCCCATAAATCTATCCCTCATATTTGTGTCAACTCTTTTTCTTAAAAAAATTATTTTCGTATTGTTTCCAAGAAATTCGAATTAATGGAGTATTATTATATGTCTCCAAAATTTAGAGGAGAAAAGTCGTGCTCATGTCGGCATTAATCTTTACAGAACTCACTCCAATTCAGCGTTCCTTTTGTACTACGAGACAAGGCTTTTTGCTTTAACTACTTAATGAATATTGGATCAAACAACTAAGTTCTGGCCATTGCACAATTTTAAGTAGTAGGATCCGTAACATAAGATCCCATTTTATAGATAAGCACCATGGATGAGAACACTAAAGGTTAACAACAACTCTCATCAGACATGCAATCTCTAATTTCATTTTTTTTCTTCAAAATAGTAGAAAACCCGAAGAAGATAGAATGACACATGCCACTATTAATATTTTTGTTGTGTAAGCTTTTGTCATACATGTTTGGGCTGCAGTTGTAACTTTTTTAGAGTTTTTTTTTTAAATATTCTGTATCTCGAATGACAGAGATATTTATGTAATTTTCATTATCTTCAATAAATATAATGGCAAATAGCAATATTTTATTAATTCTTAAGCTGCTCATCAAATTTATTTGCTATGACGTTTGCTTTCAAGCAAAATATTTATAAAGGTTTCAATTTGAAATTGGAAGAGTGGTACATATAGTCCTCCGATCTTTGCATATAGAAATAGGCCCAATTTTATTCAACTCTTATGAGATTATGTATTTTCCAAATATCTACTCTATTAAAATAGAGTCATTCTTTTTATCTATCGATACAAGTTGTCATTTAAATTTGCACTCTTTCTAGAATGTTACAAATAATATAAGTCATATAATTGATTGAACCGTATGTATTACTTAAATTAAACCAACAAAATTAATGTAAAAAGACGACCTTAATGTAAACTACCTTCAAAATACGGCAGATATCTATGTGTATACCAAAAACACATATTTTCTCCTACAAATATGGAATGTTCTAAAAGAATATATATCATCAAAATATGGAATATGGAAATCTACTAATTATCTTATATATAACCAGTGGTTATTTATGGAATATAGTTTTGGGCTTACTTTTAGTTTTTGAACAAATTATATAGTTTGGTTTTTGCGCTTAGTATTAAGAAAAAACTCCAAAAAACATTTAATAAACTTTTCACCTTAAAAGATCAAAAAATCAATTATTATTTTCAGACCCAAAAGGTATTTAATATTTTTAACTAAACAAAATTATCTATTATTAATCATTTATTTAAATCATGTACTTTAAAACATGTTAATATATTTTTTATTTTAAATAACAATCACTTTGTTTTGATAAATTTCAATGCTAACTTTTAAATAATTATTGTTTTATTTTTCTTAAATAATTTACTGATTAAAAAATGTAAAGCAAAACCAAAAATCAAATCTAAAAACTAAAATCCAAAACCAAAAGCTGAAAACACATATTATATTTTTTTGCTTTGTTTATTTACAAAATAAACTATTTCAATTTTTTTAAAAAAATTGTTTTCATCTTTTTAGTTTTAAATTAGATGTTCGATTATTTGAGATTTGTCTGTTGGTAATATTTGTTCAAACTAACTCAGCGGGTTTAAAAATTAAAAACTCAAACCAAAAACTGAAAATGAAAAGTAGAAACTTAAAAACTAAAAAACCAAAATCCAAAATCTAAAAATAAAAACTGAAACTAAAAACTAATGAAAAACAATCATCACCACAAATTTTGGTGAACTGATTTTATATCAAAATATTATTTAAATTATAACAAAACCAAATTATATAAATTTTTAATTATAAAAAATTTCTGCGCTTTTAAGCGCGGGTCAAAATCTAATTTATGTTTATATGTAAAACTAAATACGGTACATATTCGGTTGATTGATTTTTTTTTTTTTGGTAACAACGTAAAGTTGATTGTTTTTTTTATATGGATCAATTGTTTTTTCAAGAGAGTAGGTGATGTTTCCAATGAGGGAGCGGAGAGTGGTAGGTTTATTGGGATTGAGACTTACAGAATAGGTTTCACCATCTGCCAGTCCTGACACTTACCCCAATTCCAGTAGATTTAAATATTTGTTGGCCATATATCTACTTAGCCAGCCAGCTTTCGCATTCACCTTGGTTTAATCATTTATTCAGACGCAACCTTTTTCTTCTGGATTTCCTAGATGTTTAAATTTCATGTTATACAAAATAGTCACATCAATAGGTGGGTTGTTTAGCACCCTCAGGCCTCATCCATGAGAAGTTGAGAAACGAAAAATGTTATATGTAGATTTAAAAGTTTCTTTTTATAGAACTCCAT